CAAACTATTAAGATACCTAGCAAGACCAGAGTACAGGGTATAGGCATTTATTAATCCATTCACTGGCCAGATGTGGTGGTTCACTCCTGTAATCCCAGCACTTTGGAAGGCTGAGATAAGAGGATTGCTGGAGTTTAAGACCAGCCTGGTCTGGTCTTAGCAAGACCTCATCTCTACAAAAAATTTTTAAAAATTAGCCAGGCATGGTGGTGCATGCCCGTTGTCATAGCTACTCAGGAGGCTATGGCAGAAGGATCGCCTGAAGCCCAGGAGTTCAAGGCTGCAGGGACCTATGATAATGCCACTGCACTCTAGCCTGGGTAACAGAGCAAGACCTCATCTCAAAAAAAAAATTCATTCATTTATTGAAAATATGTACTGCACACTATGCTAGGTGATGAGATTCAGTGGTGAATAATACAAACAAGGGGCCTGCTCTTCTCGATTCTAGTGAGGAAAGAGAAGTAACAAGCAAACAAACAAATACATGCGTGAAGAAAATAAAATGGGGTAATGGAGAGTACAGACTGGTGGGCTAGAGGGTAGCTTGAGTTTGGGTGGTCAGGGATGGTCTCTGAAGAGTGATACTTAAGCTGAAATCTAAAGGATAACAAGGAGTTGGCCATAAAAATATTTAGGCAAATAGAGTTGCAAGCACAGGAAATCACTTTGGTGTAACTGAGGAACAGAACAAAGGCCAGTATGGGAAGAACATAGAGGGTGGGGGAGCATGAAAGCAGATGAGGTTGGAATAGTGAGATTTATAGAAGAGAACAGTGAGAGTCGAGGTTGAAAAGAATCCTAACAGGAGACTAATAATCCAAACAGTACGTTAAATTCTTGCAATTTCTTTGAAGAGAGAAAGTGAGAGAAAAACCAGGGATTGAGTTATCATTAAAAAGGGAAAAAATGGAGAGTGATAAGGACACATAAAAGAAAAAGCTGATATCACAAATTTTATATACTTGAAGGAGATATTTTAGTAGGCATAGTGCCTACCTAAAATGACCTCTCTTGTAATAAATACATTAAGTGAAGTCATCATGAAGTACAGTGCCAACTCAACGTAATTTATTATCCTTTTCTAATCTCCTGCTCCCATGATTCAGTCTGAAACTGCCCATCGGTGAGATCTGGAGACTTAGGCATTAAAAGGCACCTTTAAGAAGGCTTAGCTTCTCCAGCTACTTATTTTTTTCCATCTGAAAAATAATGAGGGCTGGAAAAGGAAAGGGATTTGCCCAAGATCATACTACATGTGAGTGTCAGAATAAGAATCATATTTCCAGACTCCCACTTCAGTGTTCTTTCCCCTACATCAGAGCCTCTCATATAAATTCTTGGGGATCAATGGTTAAGGCTTTAACCTTTAACCATTCTACATCATAAGTCTAAATGCCTAAAATTTAAACAATCTGAAGATTGCTTTCAGAGAATGGCTAGAACTACAAGACAGATAAGGAGTTACTGGTCTTTTAAAAATATTTATTTGTTAATATGATCTCCTTTAGCATGTAAACTATATCTTTTTCATTATTATTTCCCTAGCACCTAACAAATTACCTAGCATAATAAAGGTTTATTGAACATGTGTATTTTTGCTGAACACTGGAATGTATAGGACTGGGTGTGGTGGCTCACACCTGTAATCCTAGCATTGTGGGAGGCCA